GCATCCCAAACTCTGCCTCCTTCATCCCATCTCTTTTTTTCTAGCCTTCCCCCCTTCCTCTTATGGATAATCCAGACTGAACTCCACACCTCAGGATCCTTACTTAACTGCATTTGCTAAATCCCTTTGCCAGGTAAAGTGATATATTGACAGGTTCTGGGGATTAGGATGTGAGCATCTTGGAGGGGAGCATTACTCTGTTATCATGGGGGAAGATCCCCTGGAGAAGGGCATGGCAACCCACCATTGTGTCCATGGGGTCACAAAGAGCTGGGACATGACTGAGCATGTTTGCATGGGGGCACCACACCCAGGATGAAAAAAAAAATTTTTTTTTTTTACACATACTCAAAAGATTTCTCACTGGAGAGGCAGTTCTCTCATACAAAAGATGGGATTAGAATCAGAATCAATACCCAACTAGGAGTTGGGATCAGTTCAGTTCTGTTCATTTGCTCAGTCATGTCTGACTCTTTGTGACCCCATGGACTGCAGCATGCCAGGCTTCCCTGTCCATCACCAACTCATGGAACTTACTCAAATTCATGTCCATCGAGTCAGTGATGCCATCCAACCATCTCATCCTCTGCCATCCCCTTCTTCTCCCACCTTCAATCTTTCCCAGCATCAGGATCTCTTCCAGTGGATCAGTTCTTTGCATCAGGTGGCCAGAGTATTGGAGTTTCAGCTTCAGCATCAGTCCTTCCAATGAATATTCAGGACTGATCTCCTTTAGGATGGACTGGTTGGATCTCCTTGCAGTCCAAGGGACTCTCAAGAGTCTTCTCCAACACCAAAGTTCAAAAGCATCAATTCTTCGGTGCTCAGATTTCTTTATAGTCAAACTCTCACATCCATACATGACTACTGGGAAAAACCACAGCTTTGACTAGACAGACCTGTAATTGTTAAGAGACTATGGATTGTGAACCAAGAATTGGAGCCTAAAGTCTAACAACAAAAAATTGCTTTCAGAATAGGAAGGTCCTCAAACGTTTAGAACATCTGGCCCCCGTTGACCCTCCGCTCAGCCACATCTTGCCTGTTCTCTCTTTAGGCATTTCCCAACATGCCCAGTTCTTTCCATCCCTGTGGCTGCCCACCTGTCCACTTCCTGTTGAGCCTCACCCGGATGACTCCAGTGTTCTCCTCACAGCTGTCTGCAGCGCCCCCAGCAGGCCAAGGGGTCTTTCTTAAGCACACATGCTCATGTTAGCTCCCTGCCAACAGTCTCCAACAGGGCTTCTTTGCTGTCAGTATACTGTTCAAATTATAAGCATGGTCCCCAGACTCCCCTGTGATCTGGCTTCTATCCGAAGTCTTCTCTGCTGCCACCGTCCCTACCAGCAGGTGCTCCAGCGGACCCCTGTCTCCAGCCCCTCTGTCTTTTCCCATTGCTTTCTCTTCCAGAGACTATTGGGCCAGACACTTCCTCTTCCAGGATGCCTTCCTGGACCCCCAGAGAGGTTCTGCCTATCACAACACAGACCCAGCTTGCTGTTAATTGCTCTTTTCAGTCTGTCCACCTTACTGGGCTTTAAGCTCCGTGAGGGCAAGCCTTGTCTCTAGTGCCTAGTTCAGTGCCTGACATATAGCAAACCCTCAACACACAGTCACTGAATATGAGACCAGTGAGTCCTGTTTTTAGCTAAGTGTGTGACTTAGAACAAGTTTTATTGAACCTCTAGGAACTTGAACTGCATAGAACTTGAACTGTCTAGAATAGTGTCTATTGAGGTATGTTTTACATTCATCACCGGTATTTTCAGTTTTTTTCCTCATCTATCTATCTTCCATCTATCACTTTACCTATCTCTATCTCATCTATCTCTGTCCTCTCTCTCATCTATCAATCTATCTCCATCCATCCATCATTGAGAATCACGGGTGAATGGATTGTTTGAGAGGCAGTTTTAGAAGGAAAGAGTTCAGAAGTCAGAGAGACCTTGAACCTGGATTCTGCTATTTTGTTCTGTGTGACCTTGGGGTAGGTACTTAACCTATTTGAGCCTCACTTTACTCATCTGTAAAAATGGTGATGCTTCTAGTACCAGCAGAGTTAAATGGAATGTGCATGTAAAAGGCAGAGCCAGAACAGAGTAGCTGCTTTAAAAATGGTAGCGATCCATATGTGCTGTGCTTAGTCGCTCAGCTGTGTCCAATTCTTTGTGAGTCTGTGGACTGCAGCCCGCTAGGCTCCTCTGTCCATGGGCATTCTCCAGGCAAGAATACTGGAGTGGGTTGCCATTCTCTCCTCCAGGGGATCTTCCCAACCCAGGGATCAAACCCAAGTCTCCCGCATTGCAGGCAAATTCTTTAGCAACTGAGCCACCAGGGAAGCCCAGAAACCCGTATAGCTGCTATTAAAAACATTCGACATGATAAAGTCCATTGCAAATACTTTTTAGAGACCTGTTGGTGGGCCCAGCAATGTGGTTCACTTCCTGTTACGCAGAACTCCATCTCTCCATCAGTTCCCTACTCCTCAGCACTTGTTCTGTTCCGGAAACTTGGCAGGTAGTCTGTGCAGTTATTTTCAGAGGAACGAGTGGGTAAAATCGGCAGCATTTCCCCCGGAGTGTCTGTGCCCGGGGTGTATGAGTTTATGGTGCATCTGCTTTGTGTATAAAAGCCTTGTCCTCCCCCAGCACCCCCTTTTCCCTCAGAAGCAGAGCAAGTGGGGACCCAGGCTCCTTCCTGTATTCCCATCGCCTACTAGGGGAGGCCTTACTGACCAGCCTGTGTGGTTGGAGGTAGGGAAACATTAAGGATGGCTTTGCTTCCAGGTTTCTGGGTGAGCAGAGGAAAGAGGTCACCGCTGCAGAGGGTCAGAGGCTTTGGAGAGGTTGAGAGCAGAACTCAGGAGATTCTTCCAACCTGCGATGATGATGAAAGTGATAATGGTGATGACATTGGACAATAACAAGGTGATGCTAGTGGTAAAGAACCCGCCTGCCAATGCAGGAGACTTAAGAGACTCAGGTTCCATTCCTGGGTTGGGAAGATCCCCTGGAGTAGGAAATAGCAACTCACTCTAGTATTTTTGCCTAGAGAATCCCATGGACAGAGGAGCCTGGCAGGCTACAGTCCATGGGGTCGCAAAGAGTCAGACATGCCTGAAGTGACTTAGCACAGCGCATAGCTCAGTGGGGCGGTGTGGTAGCCACTCCTATTGACTCAGCTCAGGATACCTGAGTGGGATCACTGTAGCGCATCATACACGGGTGGAGGAAGGGAGTGTCTTCCTTGCTGCCTTGCTAGGTGTGCAGAGGTTGCCCTGGGCCTTATGGTTGTCAGGTGCTGGGGAGGTGGTGCACTTGCAGCATCTAAGCTTGGCGGGAAGGAAGACCTTGACCATGGGCAGATGCCTCTCCTGTCCTAAAGCATCATCTGAGGAGGAGTGGTCAGCTGGAGAGCCTCCAGTCTAGCAGAGGTCATAGGCATCCGGTGGGGGGGGGTGGGTCTCTCTTGACCACTCTGATATTGGTCCCACTCAAAACCGTGCTGGGTTCAGAGCCTCTGGTATTGGATCTCCTCTCTCCTCTCTGCCTCTTCCTCCTGCCCCGGCCCTTTCGCCTCCACACCCTAGTCCTGCCTGCTGCCTCCTTTCTCATAATAGCCTTTACCAGGTGATCCTAGTGGTAAAGAATCCTCCTGCCAGAGCAGGAGACACAAGAGATGTGAGTTCGATCCCCGGGTCGGGAAGATCTGCTGGAGAGGGGAATGGCAACCCACTCCAGTATCCTTGCCTGGAGAATTCCACGGACAGAGGAGCCTGGCAAGCTATAGTCCATGGGGTCACAAAGAATCAGACATGACTGAATGCCTGAGCACACACACATGGCAGATCAGGAGAATCCTGATCTGATAAGAGCAGAGCCCATATATTATTAGCCACAGGAAGTCAGTTCCTCTTTCTTTAAGTGCAAGGGGGTCTCAGTCTTCACAAAACACAAATCTTTTAATTTCTACTTTCTGTACGCCAGAGTTGAGCTTTTGTAATGAAACAAACAGGTTGAATCATCACCTGAAACTTTATTCTAGTCTCTTTCTTCATTTTGCAAGAGAGAAATCCAAGGCTCAGAGGGAGACTTATCTTGTCCAAGTTGTCAATAGGTCACTAACCAGCAGAGCCAGGATCTGAACATTGGCAGTCGGACACAAAGCCTTTGGCTTAATCGCTGCACTTTCCTGCTTCCTTTGTGGCCTTGGGCAAACATCAGCCTCTCTGAGCCAGTGGTTGGCCTACTACTGTGTGGAGATAAGGCTTGTCTTGCAGGGCAGTAAGAATAGCAGTGGCTGTAGCAGTGATGAGGATGGGAAGGCTGAGCAGTGCGTACTGATGCCTACTTGCCCCCTTCTGAGCATATTGTGAGCTTTCCTGATGGCTTAGCAGTAAACAATCCGCCTGCAATGCAGGAGAGACTTAAGAGACTCGGGTTTGATCCCTGGGTCAGGAAGATCCCCTGGAGGAGGGCATGGCAACCCACTACAGTGTTCTCGCCTGGAGAATCCCATGGACAGGGGAGCTTGGTGGGCTACAGTCCGTAGGATCGCATAGAGTTGGACATGACTGAAGTGACTTAGCATGCACACACAAGCATCTTTTATGTGCTAACACAACCGTCCTCTGCAAGGGAGCCCCGACTGCAGGATTATGGATGATGAGCACAGAATGCTTACAACAGTGCCCCACACAGTGGGCGCCATGGTGGATCTTCTTACTGTAATTATCAATAGAGACATGATGTGAAACTGGCCTTGGGTCTGAGAGGCCTCGTGAAATCACGGCCTTAATCAACCCCAGCTCCTATGTTTTGGAAGCTTTTCGAGCATATTCTCTCCTGTTTGGTTGCTTCATTCTCCCGGCACCTTCCAAAACATAGGCATTCCCAGATAGTGAGCAGTGAGACATGATCTTTCTCTTCAAAGAATTCCACTTCTCCCCTTTGGCCACCATTCCCCTCCTGGTGCCGGGGAAGGGAGCCTCCGAGGACAGCATGAATCTGGGGCAGGGCCAAAGGATGACTGCTTCCTGGGTGCTTCTCGACAGACGAACCGGGAGAAACGAACCCCCGGGACAGAAGGAGCAGCCCGAGCAGTCCAGCCTCTGGCGCCGGGTCCCGCAGCGGGATCACGCGGGAGCACCTGCCTCTTTCCCCGGGAGCTGCCGCGGCCCCCTGTGCCGAGGTGCCGGCCCCCTTCTGCAGGGGAGAAATCTGGCGTTGGGGAGGTGGCAGCCCACTGCTCCCTGGGAGCCAGCTGGCGCACTGGGACCAGCCACAGAACGGAGTTCTGTTCCCTCAGGCTCAGGTGGGAGGGAATCTGGGCCTCCGAAGGCGATGGGAATAATAATAGTGATGTTGACAAAGACAACGGTAACAGCAGCAGTGGCAGCGACCATTTAATGAGCTCAGACTGCTTGTCAGGCACTGTACGTTCAGGGTCGGATTTAACCCTTAAAACAACCCCGCGAGGTGGGCCTGCTTCCCCCATTTTACAGATGGGGAAACAGAAGCTTACATGGCTCAACAGACCGCGCGCCGGAAATCAGACAGACGCCAAGTAGCCGCAGGTTTGGTTCCACGGTGACCAACTGGGGTCCTCACTGTTCAACTCCGTGGGTGTAGAGGGTACAGAGCCCACCCCCCCCCCTCCCCTCTGCTGATATGTAGCAGCCGCTAAGAGCATGAGCTCTGCTTCCTACCGCCCGGATCCAAACCAGGTTTCTCCCTCTTTCTGGCTGTGTCACTCAGGGCGGTGTGCATCGCTGAGCCTCAGTTTCCTCATTTGGAAAATGGGGGCAGCAACAGTGATATTAATAACAGTGCCTCACTTGTAAATCATCATCGCGAGACTGAATGAGAGCTTCCTTGCAGTTCTCCGTGTCTTGGAGCATTTCCGGGTTGCTCCGCCTTGACACTGTTGACAGACATCTCGGACCGGGTAGTTCTTCACTGTGGGGAGCGGGGCCATCCTGTGCGCGTAGATGCGCGCAGCATCTCTGGTCTCCACCCACTAGATGCCACTGGCGCCTTCCACTCCCAGCTGTGATAACTCACACCATCACAGACCCTGACGGGTGTCCACGTCGGGGAAGAAATGCTCTCATTAGAGAATCACTGGCATTTACTAACATACAGCTTCCCAGGTGGCGCTAGTGGTGAAGAACCCACCTACCGAAGCAGGAAACATGCAGAGATGCGGGTTTGATCCCTGGGTCTGGAACATCACCTGGAGGACGGCATGGCAATCGACTCCAGTATTCTTGCCTGGAAAATTACACAGACAGAGTAGCCTGGCGGGCTACAGTCCATGGGGTTGCAAAGACATGACTGAAACAACCTAGCGTGTGCGTGCGCGCGCGCGCGCACACACACACACACACACACACATATACACACACTACATGATAGACATTTGATGATTATATTCTGACTGAACCACAGACCAGCAAAGCTGGTCTGCTGGAGAGGTCCTTAACTATTTTCAGAGCCACGGAAGCGGCTTCTTGAGGAAATCTGGAGTTGCTCCCTGGTTGGGAGTCTGAAGGGAAAACCCAGACAAAGAACTCTGCTTTCTCTTTGACAATAATAAGCAACTTTTGCTAACAGTTCCTTTGGAAGGCAACTATTTAAAAGTACCTGGGTCTTCTTTAGCACCATGATAACCCATGGAGACGTCCTTTAAAGTAGTTTGGGTCTCCTATCTTGTCCTTCAGTTGCTATGCTAAGTTGTGTCTGACTCTTTGTGACCCCATGGACTGCAACACACTAGGCTTCCCTGTCCTTCACTATCTCCCGGAGTTTGCTCAAACTCATGTCCATTGAGTTGGTGAGGCTATCTAACCATCTCATCCTCTGTCGCCCCCTTTTCCTCCTGTCTTCAATCTTTCCCAGAATCAGGGTGTTTTCCAATGAATCGACTCTTTGCATCAGGTGGCCAAAGTATTGGAGCTTCAGCTTCAGCATCAGTCCTTCCAATGAATATTTGGGATTGATTTCCTTTGGGGTTGACTGGTTTTAGGCAGCAATAAACGGACACCTCTTATATGCCAGACTCTTGTAATGTAAAGAGGACTAGCTAAAACTTAGTAGGCTCTTAAGCTGTGCCAAGCACTGCTAAGTTTCTTACGTGTGTTGTCACAGTTCATCCTATAGCACACCTATTATTATCCTCATCTTACAGTTGAGAAAAATGAGGCACAGACAAGCTAAAGCATCTTGTCTATGATTACACAGCCAGCAAGTGATGGAACAGCAGTTTACACTCTGGTGGGTCTGCCTTCAGGGCCACCTTAATCATCTGAATTGGACAAAATATCCTATTCTGAGGGAGCTGCCAGCCTGGAAGGGAAGCCAGACAATGGAGCAGAGGGGCAAGGATAAAGCAAACCCAGGATACGGTGGGGGCCTGGGGGTAGAGAGAAACACCTCAATCTTTGTGGTCCAGAGAAGCATCCTCTGACAGGCAGGCAGGGTTGCAGCCTCAGAAGGCCAGGTGATGAGTGGGACAAGAACATTCTAGCTGCAGAGACGGAAAGTCCAAAAGTCCCCAAGTCCAGAGACACGGCACAACACGACGTGTGTGGTGAACGGCAAACGTGCTGGAGCTGAGAGTGTGGGGCGGCAGGCGTTGGCAGATGAGATGGCCCAGCCAGAGGGCATCGAGTGGGGGAGCTAGAATATCGAGGGAGCCCGTTACTCTCTGAAAAATATCTGGGAATCAACTGGGTTTGCAGAAAGGGATTAAAGGAAAAGGAAAACAGGGACATGTTGGTTAGATGGAAAGGAAGAAAGAAGCCAACGTTAAAAATGTTGACCAAAAAAATAGCACAGGGAGTATTATACTGAGTTCACTGGGCATGAATGATCTAGATCACTGGATCAAGGTTGCAGGATCACACAACTCCAGGGGGCGCCGCCACCCACATCATAGTCATTGCTGTCATCTGAGTGACACTTGTCCACCTGCACTTTCCACAGCAGAGGAACTGTTCTAGGTACCGTCCATTATGGAAGCCACTTACTGTGAAATGTGGCTCACGTGACTGAGAAAGTTGCCGTGTGAGTTGCTTTTTGTTTTAATGACATTTTAATTAATTAAAAGTTAACTTTCATTAGTGGCTTCCCTTTGGGCAGCACAGCACCAGTCTTGCACGGCCCTGCCTGTGTGGCTGTAACTCGTGGCTTTGATTTCTTTCTTTCTTGGGCAAACCACTTGCCTTTCAGAACACTGTTATTTTCCTTTCTGTCATCAGGAATGCTACAGTAAAACATGCGATGGAACAAATTAATAGGCATCTCAAAGATAATTAATGGTTTGAGTGATATAAAAAAAGCCCAAACAAAACAACAAAATCAAACAAACAAACTCAAATGGCTGGCCATCCAGAAACAGGGCACGCTTGCTACCCATGGAACAAGGAGTGTTGCCTGGAAGGCCTTAGTAGAGGAGGAGGTGGTGGAGGAGTGGGAATCTGTCACTTTCCACGAAGGATGACCTGCTAAGTCATGGTCTCCAGCTCAGATCAGCTGCAAGCATTTGTCAGCTAGGGTCGACTGTCAGAAATGAAATTAATGGCCCCAGTCCTTCACAATCTGTGATGTGTGGTTTTGTGTCCCCTCCCATGGAAGAAGTGGGATTGCTCCTTGATTTGGGGTTTGGTCAGGTGATTCTCTTTAGACACGTGTGATGCTTGCAGAGTACTTACATCATGCGGCTCGCCATCTTGCACCTCTCTCTTCACCATGAGAAGAAGTCGCATGGGCCCTCAGCCAGCAGAGAGGATGAGAAGCAAGTGGGACAGACTGACTGCAGCTACCCAAGCCCAGCTCAGCCCAGAGCTACACAAGTGAATGCAGCCTGACTCAGCCAACCCCAGACAACTCACAGGCTCTGTGAGCTAAATGAATGACTTTTGTCATATGTCACCAAGGTTTTGAAGTTTTTAGGTGACATAGTTTAACTGATATGTGGCTGTTAATTATTTGATTTGAAATACCCTCATTCTCCCTGAGTATTTGAAATTCCAGTATTTAAAGGTCTATATTACCATTTTTTCCACTCTTTGACACTCAGGTTTGTCTTGCTGGCATTATAAGTTAAATGTTTCTTTTTGGATTTTAAGAGCAATACACACTCATTTCTGGAAATGGTATGAGAAGAAGAGATTTTTAAAATTATCTGGAATATCATCCTCCAGAGATAACCACTGTTAACATTTTACTGTATATCCTTTCAGATAGGCACAGGTACATGCATACCCATACATGCATATATAAACACACACACACACAAATACATGGCATAATATTATGTAAAGATCTGTGTTCTGCACTGTTTTATTTAGTTCAACATTTAGATACATCAGCATTTCCCCATGTCCTTAAATACTTCCAGGAACACGATTCCTAGCAGCTGCATCTTAATATTCTATAGTGTGGTTGTATCATATTTTATTTAACCATTCCCTACTTTGGGACATTTCGATTCTTTGCAATTTTTCACTATTACAAATGATGCTGCAACGTTCATCTTCGTACATAAATCTCAGTGTTTTTCAATGATCGTTCCTTGAGGCTGTGTTCCTAGAGTGAAATTCCTTGGTGAAAGGATCTGAACAATTTTGTAAGGAATTGCCAAGTTGTCTTCCAGAAAGGGCAATTTATAGCCCCACCAGTGGAATAGGAGAAGGGTCGGTATTCGTAATTTACAAGGGTGCGTTGGAGAAATTTCAAAGCAGACAGCTTGCAACTGAGAGCTTTTTGTGGCTTGCACATGCAGGGAGCCGGCCTGAACGTACAGGCCCCTTACGGCCCTAAGAGAGAACAAAGGGTCTCTCTTTGTCCTGCCACCCCTTCTTGTTAAAATATAGACTGGCATTTGTCCCCTTCAGGGAAAAAACACCCCGGTGACCTTTCGCCTGTTTTCCTGGTGCTGATAAACTCGTCATGCTTGAAGCCTGTTTTCTATCTAGTTAATGTTCTATTGATCTTAATCATGTTGGGCGCTAGGGTAATGCTTTACTGATCTTAAGTGTAGGAATTTAAAACATCTGTGCCTGTAGCTCTGCACATATGCAAACCTTTGATCTATTAGTAACTCCTGTTAGCATATATATAGGTGTGGTATTCTTCAATAAAGTTGTCGGAATCAGACGCAAGCTGACTCCGTCCCTCTCAACCCCATCTTTCTGAGTCTTATTTCCTAGGTACTCTGGTAATTGCGTTCTCAACCAGTTCGTTTGCCGGCAGGCTCTGGCATGCACAGGGCCATCAACTTGGAATCACATGGACCCCCATTAAATGTGACATGGAGGGAACCCCAGCACTCTTGACCCAATGGCCTCTAGCTGTGTGATTTCTGGCTGAGCTTGGTTAGTGCTGCTTGAGAAAGATAGATGCATCTGAATGTGTAAAGTGCAGGGTGTGGGTCCAGCAAATGGCCTCTCTGGAACATCCCTATTGCCTGAGGGAAAACTCCAGCTCCTTCACTTTGTAACTTGGCCACTCTGCCCAGGTTTCCTCATCAGTAAAATGAAAGGAAAGCTGTAATTTACATTGGCAAATGATCTAGCAAAGGGATTGATACATAGAAGATAACTTCACAAATGTTAATTTTGTCCTTGTTTTTTTCCCAAAAGAGGAACCAGGACTGAGGTGAGGTGGGAAATGGTTACAAATTCAGAGTCATTCCTAACTGGTTCTTTGTATATCCCAGATGAAGTTTTCACAGTGTGTGATTAAATGAAAAACAATGTATAAGCATATCTGTGTGTGTGTGTGTGTGTGTGTGCGTGCGCGCTGCACGCGCTACTCAATCATGTCCGACTCTTTGTGACCCTACGGACTATAGCTCGCCAGGTTCCTCTATCCATGGAATTTCCCAGGCAAGAATATTAGAGTGGGTTGCCATTTTCTTCTCCAGGGATCTTTCCGACCCTGGGATGGAAAGATGGATGGGACCCACATTTCTTGTATCTTCTACATTGGCAGGTGGATTTCTTTTCCACTAGTGCCCATTGGGAAGCTCCATGTATATGTGTGTGTATA